GGGCTCACTGAAGTCAGCTGTTGCTTGTTTGATAGAATTTATGAGCCAAGAGGAGTCATTCATATGGAAAAGCAGCATGGATGGGCCCATAAGTTGGGCGGGGTGGACTCTCTGGGGATCTCCAAGATGGGACACACAGTGTTAGTCATGTTGATGGATTCTCAGATACGGCACCAGCCTACCAGTTCTGTGGGTGGAGGATTCAGCAAAGGGACAATGACCTGTGCTTATCCTGATGTCAGGCACTTCAGTTTCTCCCTTTATACCACTGGTACCTCTCAAGCTGCCATCCCTGGTGCTGGAGCTCAGAGAGAATGAGTCTGAGTAGGTGAGTTCATGTGTAGGTTCCCCAAGAGGAACTGCTTAGGGCTCCAGCAGCCTCTTCCACAGACTCAATACCCACTGTTTTCACAGCCAGAAGTTGTGGGGACTTAAATTTCCTGGCTCTGGAATTCCTGGCTGGGGGCCTGGTGTGGGTCAGGAACTCCTCCCTCCTGAGATATCCCTCCTGAAGTTTATCCACATGGCCAGCCTGGTCCATATCTGCATCCCTCCTACCAGTGCAGTGCAAATGGATATGTTCTTTTTTTTAAAAATTCTGTAGTTGTCAGACTTCTATTCAACTCTATTTCTGATGTTCCTTAGTGATGGTTGTTCTATATTTTAGTTGTAATTTTGATGTGGTTTTGCGAAGAGACGAACCATGTTTGCCTACGTTGCTATTTTGCCCGGAAGCCTAGTACTTCATTTTTAAAGCTTACACTGTACTTTACAATCAGAATACAAGGATTCTTAATAAAATGTAATTGGGGTTATTCAGAGAAACATTTTTCTGCTTATTTCATGTGATTTATTTAGAGTTCTTATAATGTTGCAAAGTGACAAGTATTTTTTAATCGCTGACCTTTTCAGTCATTTCATGAGGAGTTACAGTGGGGAACTGACCTCAGTCATTCATTGTTAATGTGCATGACTGACTAGAACACTGGAACAAAAATCAGGCCTGCCTCAGGAATGTGTTTTTCCACTTATGAAATTGGAGTACAGGTACTCTGTTGCCATGAATGTTTGCTAGTTAAATATGCTGGAAAGGTTTAAAATGCTCTCCTGTTTTTGTAGGACCTCCTAATAATGGCAGTAAATTACCCAAGAAGTTAATTACAAATTATGTGTTAGGATTAATATAGAGTAAAAATTGTTGACTGTAGTTTGAAAATTTGTGTTACTGCTCTTGTGATTAAAAACTGCATTTGTTTAAATCTTTTCAGCAGATGTTTCAGTTACTACTGAAGTAAATATAAATGATTCATAGATTCAGGGAATATAATACTAACTACTTAATAAGGCAAAATTTTCACCTTAGAGTGAAGTATCATCATAGTATGAGAAATAGCTTCAAAGCATTTTACTTTTTTTCTTTGATATATATAGTAGTCTTAGAACTTGAGAAATTATTTTATTGTTGAGCAGGAAAGCATAGAAAATTTAAAGAGTGAGTAATTCAGTTGTCATACTTGAAACCTAGAGATGCAATTCAAAATTATGTATCAGCTATCACAGAAATGAACTTACTCATAAAATTTTGCTGTGTACTGTAGAAAATACAGAAGAGATTTGATTTAATAATTCTCTCTGTGTCACAGTTACTGATTATAATATAAATATACTGGTTGTTGTTGCCTGTGGAAAATATGGGATCAGAATTATTAAGCATTTTATCCTGAAATACTTAATATATTATTAGTTATAAAATGGAAAATTGCTTGTCTAATGAATATACAGGAGCCCATACAATTAATTGCATTGTACATCTGCTGCTCTCATCCCATATCTCCAGTTGACTACTTTTGCACTTGGATGACCTTATTATTTAATGCTAACCTATTATCTGATGCTGAGTCCTTGATCAGTAATGAAATTTCCAATAGTGTTTCTGTGGGGAAAAATAGACTCTGCTTTGTGACATGTCTTAGAGTGTAGTGCAAAATGAGTATTATCATTTCAAAGGACACTTGTACTTGCCTCTTTCATTTTTTACTGTGAACTCTCCATATCCCAAATTGCATTCTTCTCTCATTCCAAAACCTTGCAAGGCAAGATGTCCTTGCATAGCCAGAAGCACTGGACTTGTGTCCTACTTTGGATATTTCCAGTAACTGTGTGACCCTCTCTGGGTATCACTTTTCCTTATTTTTAAAGTGAGTGTGTTGGACTGGAAGATCTATAACATTGCTTCAGAGTTTTTTTTTTTGCTCTAAAAATTGATTTGTTTAACTGCATTACCCTGGATGGGTTGTGTGACTATAATGTTGCCAGCTTTCTTCTGGTCTCACGTTGATCATGTATTACCCTTATCCATTCAGTTAGAGTAAATAGCCTTGTAAATAGTTTTTATTCAAAATTTTCTCTTTTCTCATTTGTCTTTCCATTTTGTCTTACCTTAGTCCAGGCCTGGATCACACTATAGCTCCAGTTTGATCTAGAGCTCTAGTTTGGAAACTAAATTTCCAGTCTTTCCTCACTCTCTTGTCACCCCATACTGCTTTTTAACTCATCTTCCTTCAAGTTGCTTCTACTTAGGAATTGTTATTGGCTTACTTCCACATATCATGTAAGTTTTTGTTTCTTCTGTTAGCTTTCAAATCCATAGCAAGATTTTCTGTTTTAATCATATTGTTTTCTTTAACTTAATTCTATGTTTTCCCATCTGTTTTACTAAATTATTCTCCTTACCTGAGTGCCTTTTCCTTTCCCCCTTCTGCCATATGAGATACTACCTTGTGAAATTTAACCCAGACACTTCAGTAACATATGACATTCTCTGAGGGTTTGTGCTAATTTTTTAAGGATGCAAAACCATGGCAAGAGATATAAAAGCCAAAATACGCCTGTTTATTGAGTGTTACCTATGTTCCAGACATGTGATCTAATTGAAACCTTTCAACAATTCTTTGAGGTGGATGGCATTAATCATAACTTCCACTGAAGATTTTGAGGCTTAGAGAAGTGAACTAACCTCCACAAAATCAAACGGCTAGTAGGCAATGGAGCTGGGATTTGAACTCCATTTGGGATCTTTTTACTTCTCCCTAAAAAAGTGGGCAAAGAATCATTAGCTGTCTTCTTTACACCCTCTCCCCTGCAGCAAACACATAAACTTAATTAAAGACACAGATTTAAGTGCTTAACATAATCTGGCACCTATCATATATTTGCTGAAGATTTAGATGGAAATTTTTCTTAAATTTGGAGAGTATAGATATTTTGAGAGTTCCTTTCTCTACCTAATTTATCAAAGGAGCTTGAAGTAGAGGAAGCCTTTCATCTGATGAGTGTCTCATTTTCTTTTAGGAACCCTAGGGAGATCTTTAATAGAGTAATGTTGTGATTTAAAGTCTTTCAAAGAGAAAACAGTAAAGTGTTTTCTTTTTTGACATTAAAAGCTGAAAAAGAAATGACATTTGTGTGTGTGTTTGTTCAGTAATCATCCTTTCATGACAGTGACTAGATAACATAAGGGCTAAGGGTAAGAATTCAAGCAGTGTTGTTAATGAGATTTTAAAGGAAGTCATACAAATTGTTGGAAGTTACTTATCAATGACTGTCAAAGTGAAGATATAGTTTTGAAGAGTAGTAGCTAACTTGGACAGTTTCCTTTTAAACACCATGGTCACTGTACATCGTGATCAACCCTATTTTTCTGGTTTCATTCCTGTTTTGTATGTGATTGACTCTCCAATACCTGCTCCCTCGTAGCTCTCCTAAGCTTTAATCCTGCACCTTCATCTCGCTGCTACATCTTTCCATTTGTGACCTGTCATCTCAATCCTAACATTCATAACTTTCTATATTGTATAATTATATGTTTATGTCATTGTATTATGTTCCTGAATATAAAGTTCTTTTGTGAGGATCATGACTTACACTCCTTTGAATCTCCTGTACCCATTATAGTGCTGTGGGTACAACAGGAAGCCAAATATATGTGATTACAATAATCTTCTTAGCAAAAATACCTTTTTTCTTTTGGTAACTTCAAAAGCCCTAGTATTCATCCAGAGTCGTTATAATTGCAAAGTCTATAGGACCAAACAACAATGATGACAAGGTTCTGTTTTGTATCTTGTAAAAGCAAAAGAATTATCTTTGAAAACTGTTAGGTACTTTTTGTTTAAGAAAATGTTTTCTCTTTTTTGATGAATGACTTAAACACATTTATTTAAAATTAAGTCCATTCTGAGTTTTGAAGGTGATGGACATGTGTCTGTTACCTTGATTGTGGTGATGGTTTCAGGGTGTATGCATGTGTCCAAACTCATTGAATTGCATATATTAAATATGTTATAGTTCTTTGTGTATTGGTTATAAATCAATAAAACTTAAAAATTCATTCTCACTGGCTTTTAATAGGTAATACAAAATTATAGCACATATTTTTGTTGTTCATCTTACTTTAGACCAATTTGATTTTCTTGTATTTCTCCTTTGCCTATACATTGTCTCTTACCTTTCCCCCCCTAATTTTTCTTTTATAATACTTCTGGGCTTTAAAGGCATATTTTAAATTATTTTATTTGTCTTGAGGTTGTTAATACTAAAGACCAGAGGACCAGGACCATGATTTGTCTTTTTATTCACAGTATGTCTAGCACAGTGTCTGGCAGATCACTCAGGTCTCCTGAGATGGAGACCAATGTTCCTATTTCATTATATTGTGTGAGCCCTTACGATTTACTCTCACGTTAGAACTTTAACAGGTTTTGATTATGATTTGAAGCTTTTGGAAACTATCATTGAATAAGTGACTTCATACAAAGAATATATTGATGCTGCTGCACTGTCTCAAATGGGTCTGAATCAGAATTAATGTCTTCTGATTCTGTATTTGTCATTAGTCTTTTATTTAAACACAGCAGTTGTTAATAATATAAAGTATGTTGTGGTATTTAAAATGTATTTTTAAATGCTTTCCCTACCCTTTTCTCCTTATTTTTATAAAGTTACCAGGCAGTGACATTGCCAGTGGGAGTGATGTGCTTTCTGATGTCATACCCAGCATTCCAAGTTCACCTTGCCTGCTTCCTAAGAAGAAAAACAAGCACCGGAATTTAGATGAACTTCCTTGGAGTGCAATGACAAATGATGAGCAGGTAGAGATCTCAGCATTCTTAATTAAAAACATATATGTGGAGAATATGTGAAGCTCAATTTGCCTGTTTTAAAGTCATGGGGTAAATGTGGATTGCTTAGTAAATCCGAATTTGAGCTATAACTAATTGTTTTATAGGGATCAAATATATTAAGTGCTTTGATGTTTAAACCATTATAAATGAGACACTGAACAATCGGAAGTTTTGGCATTGATCTTGTTTATAATTTTTCATCACACAGGTGGAATATATTGAGTATCTGAGTCGTAAAGTCAGTACTGAGATGGGTCTTCGGGAGCAACTAGACATTATTAAAATAATTGATCCTTCTGCTCAAATCTCTCCTACAGACAGTGAGTTTATTATTGAACTTAACTGTCTCACCGATGAAAAACTGAAGCAGGTATGAGAATATACAGATTCAGCTAGTGAAAACAACATTGTTTTATAACATGTATACTTAAGTAATTGTACGTAAGTACATATATAATTAAGGTCAAAATCAACACTGTGAAATGTAGTATTAGAAAAACTATGGTAATATTTCAAAATATGTGGTTTGAAGAGGTTTTATGTATATCTCGCCTGGCAGGACCTTTTTGGGATTATGTGGGTCTAGAACTTGTTTTTTAATTATGTATGCTTTAAAACTTACACCATGTTAGGGATGGTTACACTAAAGTATACATTTATTCTAATTCAGCTTACAAAAGACTGATTGACAGAATGAAAATACTGATTATTGAGAGGTATACTTGACCATCTGAACTGAAGTATTTGAGTAGTCTTATGGAATAACTGAACTTGGCTAGGATAAAATGTAATTAATTTCCTTCTGCTATTCTGAAATAGACATTTCTAGTATCTTCTAAATACAGTCTTTACTGCTGAGTTTTTGCTGGTACTTAGGTTCTACTTGTTAAAAATGTTTTGCATTTATCATCATTTACAAAACATTTTTCTCATTTCAGTATTTCTCTCAACAGATGTACTATAATTTTCTATATTATAGTATGGTATATTGGAACATAACTATATTCCAGCACATTTTTCATTAGTATGGTAAATTGATGACTTGCATTTGAAGGCAGGTACAATGGACCCCTAACTAAGATTTATGAAATGCCCTAAAGTTAGTTATAATTAGCAATTTACCTAAATTGTCTTTAGTGGAGGCCTTTTTATTTATTTATTTATTTATTTATTTATTTATTTATTTATTTATTTATTTAAAAGATTCTATTTACCTTTAGAGGGGAAGGGGAGAGAGGGAGAGAAATATCAATGTATGGTTGTCTCTTGTGTGTCCCATGCTGGGAGCTGGCCTGCAACCCAGGCATGTACCCTGACTGGCAATCGAACCACGGTTGTTTGGTTCACAGGCCCGTGCTTAATCCACTGAGCTATACCAGTGCCAGGTAGTGGAGACCTTTTTAAAAGTCTCATCTATTTTATTTTATTGTTAGTCATTCTCTCTGAGTGTTGTTATCCCATATTCCTAAATTCTGGAGGCCAGTAGCCTTCCATTTACTGATTTTATTTTATGTGCTTTTAAAATGTGGCTCCATAATATGTATTCTAGAGTTTTAAACACTGTCAAGAAGTTTCTTTTTGTCCTTATTTCTTCCTATGTATATCTGTAACACTTTTGATAGTCTTTTAAGTACAACACTCTTTTTTTCTCCAATGTTTTGAGGGTAAAATGTCAACTAACAACATTAACCATTTTTTTGTCTGCATATTCCAAGGTGAGAAACTATATCAAGGAACATAGCCCTCGCCAGCGGCCTGTGAGAGAGGCCTGGAAGAGGAGCAACTTTAGTTGTGCAAGCACCAGTGGAGTGAGCGGTGCCAGCGCCAGTGCCAGCAGCAGCAGTGCCAGCATGGTCAGTTCTGCAAGCAGCAGTGGGTCCAGTGTTGGAAACTCTGCTTCAAACTCCAGTGCCAACATGAGTCGAGCACACAGTGACAGCAACTTATCTGCAAGTGCAGCAGAGCGGATTCGAGATTCAAAAGTAAAATGTCTAATCAATACAAAACTTTACCTTTCAATATTAACATTAGTACTTCCTCATATAACTTTTTTGAAGAATTAACCTTACTCTGCTATCTAGATGCTTATGGGTTTTGGCTTTAATTTTTTTGTCGTCCATTCTTTTATTTATTATACCTATGCAGATCTGTTTTATGTATAATATTTGGTTCTATCAAATAATCAGGCCAAGACATTCTATTGGTAATATTCCCCAAAATAGATTCAGGTAAAATAGATCTTTGTGCATTTCATGGACTAGCAAAACTTGAGACTTCATTACTGATTTCAGTTTTGAGGCTATACACACAGTTCATAATAAACTGGGTTAAGGTGATAAAAGTGGGCTTAAAGAAACCACAGGATTCAGAACAATTAAACCGTGTATTTTGCTTGTATTAGAGCCACAATATGAACAGCAAATTGCGTATATGGCATAGCTCTTTTATTTTATTGCGGGGAACTTCTCTGACAATGAACTTCGTGGCAATTGAACAAAGCCCTGTAGGCTGAGTACTTTGAAATGCTGCTGTGACCTGCAGCCATAGCATTCAGCTTTATCTTATTTTTGTGTCTATTTTAAGTAAGATAATTGATGGAAACAATGAATGCGTCTCAGGAATGTGATACTGACTGCAACTTACTACTGAGCAGATGTAACTATATTGCTGATGCTGTTCTCCATTAGCTCCTAAGACTGTTCTGTCTTTGGTGTGTGCTGAATGTTTTCTTTTTCTTTTTCTTTTTTTTTGATATTTTATTATTTATTTTTTTATTTATATTTTTTTTAATTTATTTTTTTAATTGATTATGCCATTACATTTGCTCTATTCCCCCCTCCCTTCCCCTCCACCCTGCATACCCCTCCCCCCACCATTTCCCCCTTTAGTTCATGAACATGTGTCTCAAATTCTTTAGATTCTGTATTTCCCCTACTATTCTTACCCTCCCCCCTATGTATTTTCTATCTACTGTCTATGCTACTTATTTTCTGTACCTTCTCCCCCCCTTCCCCTCCTCCCACTCCCCTATTGCTAACCCTCCATGAGATCTTCATTTCTATGGTTCTGCTCCTGATCTAGCTATCTTCTTAGTTTGCTTTTGTTTTAGGTGTGGTTCTTAATAACTGTGAGTTTGCTGTCCTTTCACTGTTCATCTTTTTTATCTTCTTTTTTCTTAGATAAGTCCCTTTAACATTTCATATAATAAGGGCTTGGTGATGATGAACTCCTTGAATTTGGTCTTATCTGAGAAGCACTTTATCTGTCCTTCCATTCTAAATGAAAGTTTTGCTGGGTAGAGCAATCTTGGTTGTAGATCTTTGGTTTTCATGACTTGGAATACCTCTTTCCAGCCCCTTCTTGCCTGTAAGGTCTCTTTTGAGAAATCAGCTGACAGTCTGATGGGAACTCCTTTGTAGGTGACTGTCCCCTTAGCTCTTGCTGCTTCTAGGATTCTCTCCTTCATTTTAATCTTGGCTAATGTAATTATGATGTGCCTTGGTGTGTTCCTTCTTGGGTCCAACTTCTTTGGGACTCTCTGAGCTTCCTGGATTTCCTGGAAGTCTATTTCCTTTGCCATCTTGGGGAAATTCTCCTTTATTATTTGTTCAAATAATTTTTCAACTGGTGGTTGTGCCTTTCCCCCTTCTGGTACCCCTATAATTCGGATGTTGGAACGTTTAAAGATGTCCTGGAGGTTCCTAAGCTTCTCCTCATTTTTCTGAATTCTTATTTCTTCATTCCTTTCTGTTTGATCATTTTTTTTTTCTTCCTTCTGGTCCTCTCCCTTGATTTGAGTCCCAATTTTCTTTCCATTACTATTGGTATCTTTTGTATCCCCATTCATTTCAATTAATTTAGCTTCCATATGTTTCTCTAATTTGTGACTAAAATCAACCAGTTCTGTAAGGATCCTTATAACCAGTGTTTTGAACTGTGCATCTGAAAGACTGGCTATTTCTTCATCACTTAGGTCTATCGGTTCTGGGGCTCTGAGTTGTCCTAGAGCCATTTTTGGTCTATTCGTGCTGTTAAGTGAGCAGAGCGTAGCCTTAGTTGTTTACCAGGACGGGGCGACCCAGGTCGCTGGTTTGTGACGCTGTGTGTGGGGGCGGGGTCAGAGAGGGAGCGATGGCGTTCCTCTCCGCTAGCCCAGCGCATCCAGTCACTCACACGCCTCGGGCTTGTTTATCCTATCCTAATTGTGCGAGCCTGCTGCACCGCGCGGGTTTCCCTTCTCACTGGTTTCTCCGCACGTAAATGCGCCTCTTCCCTGTGCGCTCCGGCAGCCAGCTCACTGGCGATCAGCGCCCTTGGTTGCCTGCGCGCACCGCGCACCGCCCCGGGAATTTTTTCTTGCTAACCTGCTCCGCTGCTGGCCTCGCTCCTCGTACCGGTCCAGCTGAGTATCTAGTTGTCCTTTGGACTCCGTATTGTCGATTTTCTGTGTGGCTTGGTTGTGACTGCTGTTAAAAATAGTTGTTCTTAGATTTGGTTGTGCACAGAGGCGAGGTGGATCCTCCATCTACGTCTCCATCTTGGCGGAAGTCCAGGTTAATCTGAATGTTTTCTTAATGTTGTAGTCTTAAATGTTTCTTCTTAACCCTTTTAAAAATGTAATAATGCTCTTTCTAATTTCTGTCTACTGTTTTCACAGTCGAAAAAGTTCTGTATAATATTATTGGGCATATAAAATAGACATTAATATAAGTATATGTATGGTTTTGTGATGCCTAGCAGGGGAGTTCAGTTCTTGCAGTGGTAACAGTGTGGAGCCAACTTAAGGATGATAAGGGTATCTTTATAACTCTTTGCAAACCAGTGGTGACTAAAAGATACACAGTGTTTCCTTCTCTGGCTTTTAGGGAAATAACAGAACATAGCCAGCTTTGTTGGTTGCCATGGCATTCCTCTGGATATGTGGTCATTCCTTTTTAGCATTGTGGCATCCACCAACGCGAGCAACAAATGGTCGGAAACTTTCAGGAGTTTAAGATGGAAGTTTATTGGCCAAAGCTTTACCTTCACAGGGGCAAACTCTCTAGGTGTCCGGAGACACGGTGCCCAGAAAGGGCTGCAAATGAGAGTCGTGCCTGGCGCTTACAGCCTAGGGTTTTTATTGGGGTGAGCAAGCAAGCAAATACAGAAGCAGACGTAGCCGTTAGTGATTGGCTATCTCCAGGGAACACACATGGCTATGCTTTCTGCTTGCAGCAGTGGATACTTTTCTGCAAAGACAAGGTCATGCACAGGCGGTTATCTTGTTCAGCACTCTTTGTACTTTCTGTATTTTCTATCTTCCTTGCTGAGTCTGGAGCCTGCCTCGGGTTCCTTGTTCCTCTTGGCTACTTTTATCTAATTCCAGGCCTAACAAGCATCAGTTTATCAGTGACAAGGAATAGACTGCCAACTGGGTTTCTAATAGTCTTTTAAGATGGTATTTGCCTAATATGGAAAATACGTGATTCTTTTCCAGTCAGAGTAAAAGTGCTTGTGCTTTTGGATAAAAGGCATCTTAAAAGCATAAGCATTAGAGATTTTGGAAATATTCTCTATATTCATATTAAGTATTGTTCAGTATGTGTTCATGCTGCACAGATACCAATGTACTTTAATTTGATATTTAAGTCTTTGAAATGAATGGTTATCCATAACTAGTCAAAATGATCAAGTTTTAATCTTTCCTATCAGAAGATTGGTCAAGTACCATAAAAATAGAATCTTGAAGAATTGTTTTCTAGTCTAAGCCAGTGACTCACATACTGGAACCAGCCTCACAGTGCAGAGGAATTTGAACATCTCTAAAAATTCTGAAAATACAGAATTTGTTCTATAAAATACTTAGGGTGGATACTTCAGAACTTACCCTTACTAATTTAGAAATTTTTATTTTGACAGAAGCGATCCAAGCAGCGGAAGTTGCAGCAGAAGGCCTTACGCAAGAGGCAGCTAAAAGAGCAGAGGCAGGCTCGGAAGGAGCGGCTCAGTGGTCTCTTCCTTAATGAAGAAGTGCTGTCCTTGAAAGTGACTGAGGAAGACCATGAAGCAGATGTAGATGTTTTGATGTAATAAGGGTGAAGTTACCAGCATTCTTCCTAAGCATTAAAGTATTCTATTCTTACTTGTTTATGTGCCTCTTGACCAAACTTTTGGTTAGGGCTGTGCTGATATAATAATAATTTAGGCCAGTGGTTCTCAACAGGTGGTCCCTGGGCCAGCATCTTCAGCATCACTTGAGAATTTGTTAGAAATGCATACAATAGGGCCCCACTTCAGATGTAGTGAGTCAGAAACCTCGGGGGAGGGGGTGGGGGAAGACCCAGCATTATGTTTTAACAAGTACCAAGTTAATTCAGCCTTTTTTTTTTTTTTAGTTTTCACCGAGGACATTTCATTGCAGAGAGAGAAACATTGATACATTGATACATTGATGTGAGATAGAAACATGGACTGGTTGCCTCTTGAAACACCCCAGTTGGGGATCAAACTCACAACCTAGGTGTGTGTCCTGACCGAGAATTGACTCGCAACATTGTGGTCCACAGCATGAAGCTCTAACCAACTGAGACACACCTGTTAGGACTGTGCACACTAGTTTTAAGAACCACCAATTAAATAAATGTTTTGACTGTTTAAACTTTAATGTGGTTAAATGGGCTTTTTAAAATACTAGTACTTTTACATTTAAGAAGATTCCAAGGTATTGCTGACAAGTAGTTTATTATGTTAGTATATATATGTACATGTGTAGAGATCATCATTCAGTTTCCTTAATGTTGTGATTTCTTAGTTTACTTTTTGTAAAGGGCCATAGCATAATTTTCAGTTCCTAGGGGAGATCTTTTTTTTTGAGGTTGTGAGGATGGAGTGTGGATTGCTGTTTATAGTAGTGCCTTCATTATGTTTAGTACTATCTGTTTTCATTCATTATTATTAACTCAAAGATATAAAAACAGGCCCTACTATCTCTCTTCTTAGGTTTGTTTTTGCTTTTCACTTTATGTACATTTAGAATCCTTTCTGTAAGTAATGACTACTGAGGAAATAATGTTAGTAATTGAATTTTAGACTTGATGCTATGTTGATTAATATTCAAATGTGAAAGCAATTGAACAAGACAACCCATTGTACTTTTTCACTGCTTTCTGAAGTTTCAGGCTGTGAAACTGTCTTTAAGGCAAAAGAATATCTTAAGTTCTTTTTGTAGGTCATTTTTTCAGCACATCTCTAATTTTTAAATTTTTGGTATAATAGCTTCTGGCATATGAACAGGTTAATGTTCAAAACTAACTAAAGAAAACCCTTACAGTTCTCCTAAGCTTCTGTATAAATTGGTAGAAATACATAGAGCAGTGAGATAATAGGAAAAAAAACCTTTGCTTGTTAGCTGTTAAAGCAGAACTAATTTTAAATGTGAAATCATGGAGTTTCTTTAAGTGCTCTCAAGGAGAGTTTTTATGAACATTCAAAAGTAGTGTGATTCCTTTTCTTCTACCACACATCTTTAATCATTCACATGGGCTAAAAGAAGAAGGAAACTGATACTACTGACAATCAAGCCACTTTCTAACTTTCATAATTTTCATTTTATTGTAGATAACTTGGAAGGTAATCATGATACTATAGGAGTTGTAGTTAGTATTTTTAAAACTAGAGTCAGGTTGATGGGAATGTCTACTTTTTAAAAAACTTTTTATTCATATCAAGGAATTTGTAAAGATAAAGAGTAATGACTTAAATTCATAATTTAAAATTCTTTATCCAAATATAAAGGTGTAACCTTTGCTTACAGTCATGTGTTTTGAAAATTTGATTTCATTGTGGATTTTTGAAGGTTAAAAGAATTGAAACCAAGGAGAGGATAAAAATTGTTATGTTGTAGCTTTGCTGAGGTCTGTAATATATTGAAGACCATTAAATTGATACTTAAATTTTACTAAAATAAAAGTTTATATGTGTATGTGGTTATTAGTTGGAGTAGTCCTTCTGACTTTCCCCTTACCCTCTCTTTGGTGCTCCTAACCAGGTTAGAGGCCCCAAAGAGAGCTTGGAGACAGACCGTAGAATACTCTTGAGGGAGATGGGGAAGCTCATCCTCATTGTGTTTTCCCTTTCAAGTATAGGGAGAGTAAATGTAAAGAAGAGCAAATATAGCTGAATTCTCTGTCTGCTCTTGTCAAAAGCAAAATTGTTCTCTTTACCTACTCTTCAAGGAAAACAGTACCCTTTTGGAGACCATAGAGCAGAATTTATCTGTTTAATACTTAGAAACAGTTTAGTTCACAGTGACCAGTAAAAGGAAATCCTAAACAGGATTATCATGTAATAAGACTAATTCTTCTTCTCTCCCAACAATCACATAGTCTTATTACCTTAGATTTAACTTAAGTCACTATTAAATAAGTTTACCAAAGTACCCCAAAGCCAATTTTAAAACTACATGAAGTTTTGAGAGTTCATAGTAAAGTATGGCATGATATTTTATGTAAATCTGAATGAACTGTCTTTATGGTTCTGTAAATTAGAAATAGCCCATAAAGTTGGTTTGGAAGAGATTGTAATGCTTCCTCTGATTAAAAGAATAAAAGTAAAACAATTTGGGATTGCTTATGATTGAAGAGGGAGATTACAAAGTCTTTCTCTATCCCCTTAAAAAAAAACCATTATAAAAATATAAAAAAATTCTTATCTTAGTCATGTAGATAATTCAAGTTTGAATTATTTCTTTTTTGGAATAAGTAGTAACTTATTCAATCTGGTATATCTTTGAGTTCAATTTAAAACAAACACAACTCAGTTTTTTTTTCTTTCTAAATATAAGCCCTAACTAACCAATTAGTAAAAATGTGAGATTTATTTGCTCCGTTGTCAATTCTCCTGCTTTAAATAATATTAATGGAGAGCATGATAAAGTCCTCTCAGATTTATCCAGAGACATTTTATTAGAGCTCTTGTGTTTATGTCAATTATATCTCAATAAAACTGAAAAAAAGAGATGTGAAAGTCTGTGAGTCCCCATCTCAGCTTTTTAAAGTATGAGCCTTGAGTTAAACAAAATGGCATGTTTTTTCCTACAGTTTTGCAATGGAATCAAAGTAAGGACAGTGTAATCAGTATAATGCATAGTGAGTGGAGTATAAAGGGCTAGTTCATTATGTCCCAACAAGACCTTAGAGCAAAATAACACCTTTTTTCTTTGAGACTTGTCTCGTTTTTGTTAGGCTGTGGTGGTTTTGTCCATTTCTTCAGTCCTTTGAGATAACTGAATATTGCTGAATTAATCCCAGAAACTGACTTGTAACTTAATAACTTCATGGATTTGGTGGACATCTAATTTTTACAGAGTTTTTAAAAGTGCTAAAGCCCCTCATAAATGAAAAATTTCAAGAAATAACACTATAAAGGAATACAGATTCTAATGAACTTTAAAAATTGAAATTTATCAGATGTGTTCATATTTATGCTAAAAATGTTATTACATGACAAATATAGAAGTCTGGTTTCCAGATTCTGTAGCAGAGATTTTTGTTTGTGGCTTAGTCCATATAGCCTCATGTGCCTTAATGGTGAACTCTGTACTTCTTGTCAGTGTCAGGCTTTTCCAAAGTAAAAAATAATCTAAATGTTGCAATTTGTTTTATAGAATGTTCATGCTATTGGATATCAGTAAGGAAAGCCATTAAATTGAACCAATCAATGTTAATAGTAAGTATAAGAAACCAAAACCTTCAGATTTTAAATTTCATTTGCCTAACTTTATTTTGGCCCATCTTGGTCATTGAAGAACACTGAAAGTTATCTAAAGTATATCTTAATGTATTCTTTTATTTTTTCTCATGAAAAACATCACATATCAGCATTGTGTTTAAAACCAGACAAACTCTCAGTTTGTCTGGAAGGATAATTATCTGGAAGGATAATTTTTAAGGCAAAAGTACTTCAAGAACAGATTATATAGCAAGTTGATTCTCTTGTTAACTTTAGGGATTCTTTGTATTTATTTGTATAATAAATAGCTGGAACACTCCTCTCCCCTTCAACAAATTACCTTTTAGCACTCCTATCTTCAAGCAAAATTTTTGCTTGGAATCGGGAGGGAGTTACTTAAAGTCAGTGTACAGTTAGCAAGGGTTGATGAGAAAATTCCCAGTGGCATTCAAATAATGGTATTGATGGTGAGCACACTGACATTCAACATGTCTAAACTTAGAGGTAAATTTAATTCTTTTTTCCTAATGTATTTTTATTTTTTAGTATATTTTGTTGGTTATGCTTCTATAGTTGTCCCAATTTTTATTCCCTTTATCCCCCTCTTTGCACCCCATCACGCTCCAGCATTCCCCTCCACTTAGTTCATGTACATGAGTTGTACATATAAATTCTTTGGCTTCTCCATTTCCTATACTATTCTTAACCTCTCCCTGTCCATTTTGTACCTACCATTTATGCTTCTTATTCCCTGTACCTTTTTCCCCATTCTCCCCCACCCCCCTCCCCACTGATAACCCTCCATGTGATCTCCATTTCTGTGATTCTGTTCCAGTTCTATTGTTGGCTTACTTTTGTTTTTGTTTTTTAGGTTCAGTTGTTAATAGTTGTGAGTTTGTTGTCCTTTTACTGTTCATAGTTTTTGACCTTCTATTTCATAGATAAGTCCCTTTAACATTTCATATAATATGGGCTTTGTGACGATGAAGTCCTTTATACTGTATCCAGTAAAACTATCATTTAGAATGGAAGGGCAGATAAAGTGCTCCCCAGATAAGGTAAAGTTAAATTTAATTCTTAAAAGGAGTATTAGTTAGAGAATAAGTGTTTGTATAACATGTACTGTGATATCTTTGGGTTTGTTTTAAGTCTTACAAAGTAAGATAAATTTTGTCTTTACAATGAAATTTTGCTAAGTGGGTAAGAAGCATCTGAGACAGATTTAGATCTAAGCTTCTCTGTCACCATAGTAGCTGGAACATAGATCCTTAGCACGCTTAATTCTTATTTCTTTGGAAAACAACTTACTTATCCCAAAATGCTTAGAAGGAGCTCAAATTCCTCTAATTAGCTTGCTATTAAGAGTAAGGAAGTTGCATGGTATAGCTGGAAATCTGAGTTGACTCACTAAAATTTTATTTTCATATTTTTTCTAATATTAAAATTATTTTCAGCCTTCCTCACAATTATATTTTAAATTAAGGTTATTAATGTTTTAACCTAGTTTACATTATGGTAAATTAATTTTTAATTTGACATTCATATTTAACTCAGAAAAATGGTTTGTTCTCATATTTCAATATGTAGTATTTTTTCTTTATTGTTAGGTTTCTGTGTTACATCTTTGGTCAATGGAGTCTATAGAAATATGTGCTCTTTTCAGTGGTAAGGGATGGGAGTAGAAAAGAAGAGAATTGCTGTAATTATACATATGCATTTTGATTGTATAAAGGTAGCTGTAGACTTAATGTGTATAAATGATAAGTTAACATTTACATATTTTGAATTGTTCTAAGGAACAGTAGGCTGAAGCCATGGCTTGTTTTGTGGAGCTGCTTGCTCTTTAATGGTAGCTGACCAATTGGGTTTAAGTTGAAACTTGGAGTAGGTTATCTAGCTCTTCCAGCTCATGCTTATAGGAATAGAGCAGACCTTGTCTGTTCCCTGTAGTGGATCAATTTAATTTCCTTTTTAAGTACTCTAATTTAGATACAGGTATTATCCATTTTAAATCTTTGTTTTGGGAATTTAATAAGACTTGTCAAGAATTATTAAAAATAAATGTAAGTATATGTAAAATTTTCACAGAAGGTTTAAAATTTTCCATTTTTTGGTTCAAAGGTTAGTTCTATAGCATCAAATATTGTAACCAAAGCAAGCAAGAAATCTACTTGTTTGGAGACTCTTAAATGCTGTAATATATCAGATTGTTAATCAGAAGTCCCCCCCGTATTTGTGCTAAATGTATTATTATATTAATGCACTTTTGTATATATAACTGTCTTCTCTACATTCTGTAATTACTTAGTGTACAAAAAAAGCTGTTTTTCCTGAAGCTGTGAGGGAAAAAGAATAGCTGCAACACACGTCATTTCAATTTTGAGTTCCTTCTTGTACTTGAAAGTAGTAGTTCAGTAATTAAATCTAAATGAGTATGTATGGTTGTAATTAAAACTGGCAGTGTGGCAGAACTGTCTTTTGAAACTGAATAACAGAATGAAAAGAGTTGTTTTGGTTATTAAGAACTCTTGTAATGTGTTAACTCTTTTTTTCTGGGGTGGGGGGAATGTACCATGAGGTTTTTACAAACCCCATTGCTGTTTAATCCACTCCTTTTCATGTTTCATCCAGAAAATTTCTCAAGAGAGAATTGCTCTCTTTTCTTTTGCTCACAGTTTGGTTAAGGCTTCATAGACTTTTGTTCTGTGAAAGCCCCAATTTTCCAAATTTCATTGGCAAGTCATTTTTTTCTGGAGAGATCAAATTTCTAGAGAGATTAGCATTCACAGTAAGTGAAAATTAGGTCCAACTTTTGCTTAAAAATCAGATCTACTTTTCATATATTGATCTAGAATCTTTTAAAATTATAATTATATAAAAGAAGTATCTGTGAGCAGTTTTACGTATACAGAAGCAATTCAGCTTTTCAGCAGCAACTTTATCTCTTGCCACTAGAGGGAGGTGTGGTTCTCTCCTTCAGAAAATGTCTTAGCTGCTCTTCCGTTTTCAATTTTAGAGGTTGAAATCAGCCTCATTCTCAGAATTCCTTTTGTGATAGTAAATACGTTCATTTAGCAATCTAAGGTGAGTTAATTAAGCTTGTGTAATAAATCCCAGTCTTATTAATGTTTTTCATAATCTTCAATTTTTAATAAATGTTAGATATTAAGTGAAGAGTGTGTGTGTGTGTGTGTGTGTGTGTGTGTGTGTGTGTGTGTTGGGTATTTTAGAGCTGTGCTATCCATTATGGTAATCACTAGGCACTTGTTGCTGTTTAAATTAATTAAAATTTAAAATTTAGTTCTTTGGTCCCTTTAGCAACACTTCAAGTGCCAAATAGCCACATATTGCAAGAAGTTACTTAATATATTGGAAACCTCAGAGTACAGAACATTTCCATCATCGAAGAAAGTTCTGTTGGACAGTGCTGATTCTAGAGATTTGATGGCTTACATAGTGACTGTTGCCATTTTACCAATGAAAAGTAATCAGTGGCTCAAAACTGCTGCCCATAATTAACCGTCATAGGTAACTGATGAGAGAGGGACAGCAAGCTATATCAAAGAAGTGTCAATTTAGTGATCATCTCTCAGAGTGCTTCTTTATTCTTGTGATGTGAGAACCTTAATAGAATCACTGTTACTTGGGTCTGACAGTATCCTGCCCTGTCATTATCAGTGTGGATCTTATGGTAAGTGGGATGTTTATATTACATTAGTCATGTTTTTTAGTAATAGGTTGATAATACTAGAGTGAGGTAAATTTCCTCTTTGTAATAGTGAAATAACATTTTGAACATTCCAGTTTATTCATTTGATAATCAGAATCCTATTGTATGCTTATTTTTCTCTTAAAAATAGCGAGAAATACTTCCTGCTTCGTCATAAAAATTTTTCCAAGTAGGACAGTAAAATGAATCCCCACATACCCACATCCACTTTAGCTCTTCTCTCATGGCCAATCGGATTTCTTTTACCCTGTCACCCATTGACCTTATCTAAAATCCTGATGATACTAAAGTGAAATCCAGGTGACATATATAATTTTTAAAAATTTCAGTATCAGATTTCTAAAAATAAGGACACTTTTGTCTTATACTTACCTATGAAATCATCATCATACCTCCATAAATGATTCCTTATGTTAAATATGTATTGTACTTACTTGGCTTGGAATCAAAACCTAATCATTACACTTATTAATTTGCACAGTCACTCTGCATTTGTTAGCAATAAATTATTGCTTGATAAGACCTGATGGTGTGTCTTGAGCACATTTTCACTGAAAGTGAGATATCTATTGCTTTTTAAAATAAATTCCAGTAATTTTCTTTACTATGTTGTTATTAAAGTCATGGTCTAATTTCAGTAACAGGCAGGAATGAGGGAAGTAACTGTTCAAGATAAGTTGAATGAAGTATTTGCTGCCTTACCTACCTCTGAGTCCAATTTTTTATTATTTTTTAGCCAAAATTGGCCCACATGGTAAAGATTTGAATACCTAGTATTTATAAGGAGTTTTTCAAAGGTATATGGACAGATATAAATAAAAGTATTCTTTTGTTTTTTAGAAATTAAGTTTAGGAAATCTGTTTTAACAGATATGACTGAGACTATTGCTTTTGATTTTATATTTTAAGTTATTGAAGCTTATACTTTTCAAATAAATTATAGAGTTTGAGAGCTTGGGAGGTTGTTTAGCTTGGTGGATGTCAAACTTGAGTGTGACTCAGAATCTCCTAAGGACTTGTTAAAACACAGATAGCCAGGTCTCACTTCCAGAATTGGTCTGGGGTGAGGCCTGAGAATTTGAATATTTAACAAGCTTCTAGATGATGTTGATGCTGCTGGTCCAGTGAACACACAGAGAACCGCTGGTGTATCCTCTTTGTTCCCTGCCTGCATTTTACACGTGAGGAAATTTATAGTAACAGGAAAGTGACTTCTTTGCCCTAAACTGGTGAGTGACATAGCCAAATCAGAATCCAGATTTTAAGGTTCCTTAATCACAATCACACTGTAAGTCCAGTGCTTTTCCTATTGTGTGTTTGTTTCCTTCAGATCACTTGCCTTCAAGTGATTCCTCTGAGTCTTCTCTGAACATTTGGGTTTTCTTGGTAGTGGTAAATTATCTGCTTAGATGAGAAGTTTCTAAATTGTAGTCTTGGGATTAAAATTATTGGCAAAAACTTTTTGCCTGCTGATGTGTTTTTCTGGGGAGGGCTCTATCTCTTTTTATCAAGTTCTCAAATGAGTTTTCTTCCTCCTAATGGCTACAAGGACTCTCCTTTTAAGGGCAATTGTGCTTTTTGGAAATAACGAACGACCATTTGGAGACTAGTGGTTAATGTGGGTGAAAAAGCTAGAAATCACTACATTTGGTCAGTGAGGTGTGATTTTACATGTGGTTAGACTGTTTTTCCTTTGCAGCCTAAAAACTGGCTGTGATATATATATTAAAGGAAAGAATTCCAGAAATATTTTGGGCAGTGACAGCATCACTGGACTAGGTGTATCATGATAACATGGAATGAAGATGTTATTAATTTGGATGTATTGGCTTACTGATTAAAAAGTCTTCATTATTTTATAATCATGACATGCATTCTAGAGAAAAATCTTCCACTAATGTTTGAGGAATATTGGGTTAGATTTCATGAAATTGTTTGTGAAACCTGAGATAACAGAACTAGATGGTAATCTAAAAACTTGAAAGATGCAAAGACTTTTTGATTTAATGGTCATTAAGCCAGTCTTTATTTTTGCAAATGAGAAGTTTGAGGCTAAGAGAGATGAAGTACTTCATACAGGCCCTATGACTGAATGATGACAGATTCAGGACTAGAATCCAAGTCTCTGGAGCTATAAACTAGAGCTCTTTTCTCTGTATCACACTGCTTTATCTCATGCTGCTGCTTTTCATGGTGGTTTGGGAGAAACCACCTTAAGAGTTTGGTATAAAGCAGTGGTTACAGTGTGGATCCCACACCAGCAAAATTAACATCACCTGAGAGCTTATAATAAATGCAAATTCTCAGGCTCCATTGCAGACCTATCGAATCAGAAATTCTGGGGGTGGGACCCAGCAACCTGTCTTTTAACAACCCCTCCCAAAAAATTCTGATATACAATCAAGTTTCAGAGCCACTAGTATAGAATAAGGAATCTCTACTCTGGCTGAACATGAGAATCATCTGGGGACCTCTTAGAAAATAACGGTGCCTAAGCACCATCACCCTCAGTAACTGAGAAGTTAAAATTAGATCTTAGAGATGAGGCCTGGGCATAAATTGTTTTATAATAAATACTTTAGAATAATTTTAGATTTGTAGAAAAGTTGTAAAGATAATACAGAAAGTTCATGTATACCCATTACCCCAATACCCTAACATTATCATCTTATATAACTGTGGTACATTTGTCAAAACTAAGACATTAACATTGGCACATTACTATTAACTATAGACTTTGTTCAGATTTCACTTGTTCTTTTACTAATGCTTTTTTTCCTATTCCAGAATCTAATCCAGGATCCCACATTGCATTTTATCATCATGTCTCCTTAGCCTCCTCTTGTCTGTGACAGTTTCTGTCTTTCCTTGTTCATGATCTTGATAAATATTAGAAGAATTGACCAGGTATTTTGTGAAATGTTGTCCCTCAGTTCAGGTTTGTCTGATGTTTTCTTCATGATTGACTGGGGTATTGAGATGTGATGAGGATTACCATAGAATGGTGAGGTGCCATTCTTATCACATCATCCTGACAGGTACATACTGTCAACATGACTTAATACTAGTTATGCTAACTTTAAGTACCTGGCTAAGGTAGCATGTGTCAGGCTCTTCATTGCAAAACTACTATTTTTCCCTTTCCATACTCTTTGGAAACAAGTCATTCAGTCCAGCCCGCACTCAAGCAGGAGAGGGGAAGTAGGCTCCACCTCTTAGAAAGTGAAGTATCTACACATATTATTGAGAATTCTCTGTGGAAGATTTGCTTTCGCTTTATGCATTTATTTGATCATTTATATTAGTATGCATTCATAGGTATTTATGTTTTGGGTTATAACCTAACACTGTGTTCTTTATTATATTCAAATATTTTCAGCTTTGGACATGGGAACTTATAAAGTTTGGCCAGTCTCCCTTAAACCTATTCTTATTTTGTATTTTGAGCATTGTATTTTCTGGTACCACATGATACTCCAGCACTAGAATCAGCATTTCTACAAGGAGCTGGGTACCTCTTTTTACAAGCTGCTCAGATGATTTTTATGCAGGATAAGTGTGGGGACTACTGATACTGAGAGTGAACCATATACTTCTGTAAGTCTCCTAACGCCATGATCAGAAATATAATAAAGATTATATATTTAAAAAATGTAGTCACCTTTGATTCAGTCCTCCTCCTTTTATTTTCATGTTCAGCCTTTTCACTAAAGCTGTTTTCACCTTGGAATCCAGAGCAGTGCTTTAAAAGCTTTAATTTACATAGGATCTTGTTAAAATGCAGATTCTGATTCAGTAGGTCTAGGGTCAGAGTGTAAGATTCTGTAGTTTTAGCAGATATTCAGTTGGTATGAATGCTGTCAATGCATGAACCACATTTTGAATACTGAGGGTCAGAACAAAATTCAGACAATTTAGGACACAAGAGCCCCCATGGTCTGGTAGGCCCCAATCTACTTTCCAGGGTGATCTTCCATGACTTTTTTCATTTACACTCAAAACAACCAGCTTACTCTATATTTGTAGTATCTGCCTTCTGATGTGGCCCTCAAGGATGATGGCGATGCAAGTCTTTGTTTAATCCACTTCCTTTTGGTGTGGGCTGGACATAGTGACTTACTTCTAACTCTTAGAATATAGCAAAAGTGAAGGAATGTCACTTTTGTAATTGTAAAAGATTGACCTTTGTCTTGTGCTCTCTCATCTTGGTGGCTCACTGTGATGAATTAAGTTGTATGTTGTGACACCATGCTCTGTGGAGTGGCCCAAATGGCAAGGAACTGAGGGACAACAGCCAGTGGTATAACAGCTCATGAGGAACTGAAGCCTAACAACTGTGAGTGAGCTGTGAAGTGGATCCTTCACAATGGAGCTTTGAGGTGACTGCAATCTGGTGAGAGATCCTGAGCTCAAGCACCCATCTAAGACTTGTATATCTTTCTGACTCACAGAAACTGAGATAATCAATGTGTATTTTTTTCTTTTTTAAAGTATTTTTATTGATTATGCTATTACAGCTTTTCCAATTTCTTCCCCTTTATCCCTTCTCTGCCCTGCCCCTCAACCCTCCAGCATCCCCCCCCCTAAGTTCATGTCCATGTGTTGTACATATAAGTTCTCTGAGTCCTCTGTTTCCTATACTGTGGTGGACTCCGGCCAACAGAGTCCGCCTGTTGTGGCTGACGGTGAGAGTGAATGCACAGGTGACAACAACCCTGTGGAGAAAAAGGGAACGGCACAGCTGCTCTCTCAAGGGGAGAGTGCCTATGAATGCCTCGGTCACTCTCAAGGGGAGAGCGTGTCGACCCTTACCTAGACAGGCTTTTATTGTTTTCCTCAGGTCTTACATCAGAGAAAGATTTATTACTTATTACATAGAATATTATTGTCTACAGGTACAATCAATGAAATGAAAGTAACATGTGGAGGGAAATGGCAATGAGCTGATTAGCTCTGTCTTTGGGAAAATTGACACAAGCTTTGGATATTACCTTGAAGATAGACACTACACATTTGTTGTTTTAGACCAGAGTGATGAAGTTTTAGCAAGAGCAAGCTGTCCCTCCATGTGATGTCCTTTTCTCAGATTCTGTTACTCGTCAGTTGTTTGCTTAGTTTTTTTATTGTTTTTCTTCTTTTTTAGGTTAATTTGTTGATAGTTGTGAATTTGTTGTCATTTTACTGTTCATATTTTTATCTTTTTCTTAGATAACTCCCTTTAACCTTTCATATAATAATGGCTTGGTGATGATGAATTTCTTTAACTTGACCTTACCTGGGAAACACTTTCTCTACCTTCCATTCTAAATGATAGCTTTGCTGCATAGAATAATCTCGGGTGTAGGTCCTTGCCTTTCATGACTTGGAATACTTCTTTCCAGCCTCTTCTTGCCTGCAGGGTTTGTTTTGGGAAATCAGCTGATAGCCTTATGGGCACTCCTTTGTAGGTAACACTCTCCTCTTGCTTCTTTTAGGATTTTCTCTTTGTCTTTAATCTTGGGTAATTTAATGATGATGTGCCTCAGTGTGTTCCTCTTTGGGTCCAACTTCTTTGGGACTCTCTGGGCTCCTGGATTTCCTGGAAGTCTATTTCCTTTGCCAGATTGGGGAAGTTTTCCTTCCCCAATTATTTGTTCAAATAAGTTTTCAATTTCTTTCTGTTGTTTTTCTCCTTCTGACACCCCTATAATTTGGATATTGGAATGTTTCAGGTTGTCCCAGAGGTATGTAAGTCTCTCTTCACTTTTTTGAATTCTTGTTTCTTCATTCTATTCTGGTGGACTGTTTATTTCTTCCTTTTG